TCGATGGATGTTTTGACTCGGATGGCTCTCATGAATATTTTGACGAGTTGAATGTCCTATCGTTTTTTGCCGGAAAGGAGAGAGCTGTTGTGTAAGCGACTGTTGACGTTATGTTAAGCAAGGACTGTTTGCATACGCTCCTAGATAAAATTTAATAATTTATGAAGGACAAAATTGAGTTTGGTATTTGACGGAGGTGGATAGGATACGTTCTTATTTCTTTACTATTATTTGAGCTGTGAACTGCCTTTACGATTTTATTATCTTATTGGGACCTTGTCAGTTATTTAGGCTATTAATAAACGTGGGTTTTTATATGTATTTTGCAATTCCGATTTCTTTAATTTTCCTCTACCAGTGCTAGTTACTTTTTTTTATTTTTTTTTTCGCAAAATGATTGCTGTTGTTTTTCTCGGTCCCTTCTCGAACCACTCGTGGTCTGTTGTTTTTATTAATAAATAAATAAACAAAATATTAAAGTTAATATTGTCAGAGGCATGTAAACGGGCCTAACTAATTTTTCTTTTGTTTAATCACGTATTAGCAGTCTTGTAGCATAACGGAGCGTAAAATAAGAAAGTATTTTTGGTGGTCCACTGCGTAATAAAATCATGTAGGACACGACGGCGCAGTGGCAATGGCTCTCGAAAGCGGCGATCGGTAATGTTATGTGATCACGCGACGTGGTTTAAGTTTGTAATTTACCTGCATTACCGGTAAAATACGCTGATTTGCCGTCTTGGTGGCGTTTTACTTGCTGTCGTTTGACCCGTGCAGCTCGAGAGCACGCTACTCTGCGATTCGTGGCAGCTACGTGGCCCACAGACAATGGACAAGGCCTTTTGAATCCATATAAAAATGATAGGTATTTAGATCGCCTTTGAAGAAACCAGTGTGACAGCCATTCTTTAATTTTAGCTTGGTGTATGTCAATGCGTTCCTAAGAGGTTCGGAAAGAAAAGTATTTTTTCCAGGCAATGTGGGGTAACAAATTGTGCAATTCATTCCAAAGCAACGTGATAAATATGATCCAAATGAAAAGAACGATATTATTATTCACATGAAAAGTTAGAGCATTCTCAAGCTTGTGATGGTGAAACATTTCTCAAAACAAAATGGCTCTGTTTTAAAAGTATTTTGCTTCGACGCATTCATTAAAAAACTTTTCTTTCTTTTTTTACCGGTTTGAGCAGCAGAGTGCGCGATGGGCTGGCTCCGAGCCTGCGCGATTGCTCGAGGGACCAAAATACTGTTGTCGGTGAATTATGCTGCGTAAGCCTTTCAGCAAAATTAATTTCACCTCGCCAGTCAACTGCTTCCATTTTTGTGTTAAGCCTCTGAATTGTTTCAAGACACGCTTGTCCCAAACGTTCGCCGTGATCAGTAACGTTATTCCGAGAGAACCGTAGCTTTAGTTCGTGTTTTTTGTTTAAAGTCAGTCTCACTCTCAGACAAAGCACTCTACATGGATTTGCTCAAATGTATATAAATAGTAGTTTTTAAATTACGAAAGCACTATTGGAACAAATTTTAGTTTTGTTTTTTCATGTATTACAACTTTTTAGGTATTTGTACCCTGTCGTAGTGTCTATACACTCATTTTCGTCACGATTGCTACTACCAGACACAACGTAGTGCATATCGTTCGCATAAAGTTATTTGGTTGAATAAGACACCAAGACATCGTGAGGCATTCAAAGAGATTCAAGGAAACTGGCCCATGTGTGCTGTTCAGTTCATTCTGCGGAGGAACTACACGGGCTGTAATTCTGTCCAGATAGTTCAGAACATCCTGAGATGTCGGGACTGCAGATGACATATAGACAAATATACTCAGTGACAAAAATAAAACACGAACACGAGGGACCCTACACCCAGGACGCTGACCAAAGTAATTGATGAGGTGTATACCCGAAACTGGCACTTGGCAAAATTCGCAGTCTCGAGCCGGAAAAAAATTCATATATATTGTTTTCTTTTCTTTTCAATTCAAATAATTGTTTTGAATCAGATGAATGTTTTGACTCTGATGGATGTTCTTACTCAATGGATGTTTTGACTCAGATGGATGTTTCGACTCTAATGGATGTTCTGACTCGATGGATATTTTGATTCGATGGATGTTTAGGCTCGGATGGATGTTCTGACTTGATGGATGTTTTGACTCTATGGATGTTTCGACTCGGATGGATGTCTTGACTCGTTGGATGTTCTGACTCTGGTGTCACGCGACCTGTTGGATGTTTTGACTCGATGGATGTTCTGACCCAATGGATGTTCTGGCCATAAGCGTACTGAAAATACTGGGCACAGAGCAATTTTATTTTGTTCGGACCACTCAAAGCAGCTCTAGGAAGAATCAAGTTCCGTTTAGGGCAAGAGCTGAGAGCGGCGGTACATCCATATAGCTTCGGAGTTACCAGCAAGATATTTTGTTACGCAGCATTCAGGCGTTGAAGGCGGGGAGAGGACTATATTGAAAAGCGGCAAATTGTTTTTAATCCTGTGTCTAGTATTATGAAGGCCAAATATAAATTTCAGCCAGTTTTCGACTACGACTCGATGTCGAAAGCTCCCTCATAGAGGCTAATCATGTCACATAACACCTGAGACTGTGGTGGAAGAAATTGGAAACTTTTTAGTAGAAGAAACAGACACAGAAAGGGACGTCTCAAACTCAGCTAACTGGTTTATTTCTCGACCGTCCTATATATACCGATGATACCCTTCTCAACTACACTCTACGCAGAAATCTCCTTTGTTGAAAACAGTTCCAAAATGGAGAGAACATAAAACACAGACAAAGAGCTCAAGCGAACGCACAGACAAAAGAGGCCCTATATCTGTAGGACACCTCGGGACATGGCAGTGACCTTGAGAAAATGGCCGACGACAGCACGCATAAAACGAGAGCACTACAGGGCATCGCAGTGACCTTGAAAGAAAAGTGCCGAATCATTCGAAACAGTAGCACCGAAACCACTCGTACCCTTCAAAAAGAAAAAAACAAAACAAAAAAAAAGTTTTTTTCAGGGTACGAGTGGTTTTTTTTTTTGTGTCTGTTCCTTCTACTGAAAAAGTGTCCAATTTCTTCTACCACAGTCTCAGGTGTTATAGGACATAATTAGCTATCATCAGCTCGCCTGCACACTCACTGTCTTTTCACTCATAGAAGCGTTCTTGGTGTCGGACCCCCCCCCCCCCCTCCCCTTTTGCTTAAAAACGTTTTGGTAATATGTTCATTGTTGCGTGTTTTACTTTTCCCCTGGAGTTTACCTTTTCTCAAATGCAAGGCTTCAAGGAACTGCTGTAGTTTTTCTAGGGTATTTTAAAGTATACTTCTCTTTCATACGCAGAACTGACAGTGCTTTGGGCCGCTTCATTCCCAAGAACACCCAAAAAACCCAGCCTAAAATTTATTTATCAATATTTTCAGCCGTCTGATCGGTGGCAAAGGTGAGGGTGAACACTGCTTTGTAGTCTGTACAAGTAAAATGGAAAAAAAAAATATTGTAAGCACCAACAACAACGACGAACGATGTAAATGACCGTTCTGTTCAACATATTCACCGATAAAAATGAAAAGACACGAAGAGAACGCAACAGACAAATATTGCACGGTAATTTTGAGCTTAAACCTATGCGGAGAGCAAGTCGTCTGCTTTGTGATCAGGAGCGGCGGTGACGTCAGAACGACGCCGAGCTCTTATTGGCTGACATAATAAAATAGTGGGCAGACCTCAAGGCATTGCGGTCTACCCACTAGTTTTTTTTTCAATCAGCCAATAAGCGTTCGGCGTCGTTCTGACGTCACCGCCGCTCCTGATCACAAAGCAGACGACTTGCTCTCCGCATATTATAGTAAAATGATAAAAATCCCGAACAACGCACCACAGAAACGACATTAAATGCAACTCGTCCCCTGGTTTGAATGACTTGGTGTCAAATGGGTGTTACAGACAGCGAACAACATAATTATATGATAGGTATCAACAAATATTAAAGCAAACACTGATGTTTTTACGGTATTAAGTGTTTTGTCGGGGAAGTAAAAAAGACACAAGTTATTGACTGATTCATGATGGTTAAAGCATGGTTTACACATTTGCGTACTTGCGCTCAGAGTGACCGAAACGACAGCAGCGATAGAATAACCGGAAGAGGTACTTTCCTTAGAGTTATTACAATAAACGCCAGAGGCTCAGCTGGCGCTAGTGTCTACGGGACTTCCGATTGCAAATTGAAGCAGAAAGCAACCAGTCGACTTTTCCAGTCTTCTTGTGTGTTCCTATTGGAAAACGTACGTGATATTTTTCTTTTCGCAGGGAATAATAGAAATCAGCGTAGTTTATTTACACGTAACGTTTATTCATTTAACTATGTAGCTATATTCAGATTATAAAAGTGTAATTTATCTTGTTAATTTTTTTTCTTTATTACTGGACGATGTTTAAGTCAGCAAAAAGTGTGGCCCAGGTTTATGTTGCACAGCAGGGGTTCTCAAACTTTTTGGTCTCACCGAACCCCAGGAAGCCGATTGTAAAACGTTGAAAACTTTTTATTCTGTCACAACACTAAGCATTATTTGCTCTTATATTCGAGCGCGAAGAGAGAACGCATTTCCGTTTTCCCATAGGAATGCATTACCGGAAGTCTAATTTAGACTGGTTGCTGTCTGCTTCAAAATGCAACAACACACCATAGCGCCACCTGAGCCTCTAGCGTTTATTGTAATATTGCTATGGTATTTACCGTACACGAAGATCCAGGTAATGCAAAAAGTAGCTTCGTGAAGCAATTATGAGTCACAATCGTCCCGGTGTTCCGGTCGTTGCTGTCATTTTGATTGCTCTGGACGCTTACCGACGCAAGTGTGTCCAACCAGCCTTAAACTATTCCATCCTTTCATTGTACGACAAATGAAAGAATATTTGTTGAACATTTTGGGTGTTTGGAAATGGTCTATCGAAACAGCGAAGATAACCCAGTAGCAAACTCACCCAATGAGTACCTTCTGGCTCCAATATGGAGAGATAATCACCGCTACACTGGGCGCTTGTCTCCAGGTCAAAGTCCGCGAAGTCCAACCGCACTCGCTGCAAGGAAAATAATGAAAAAAAAAAAAAGAATTTATTTGTCGAATGAGTTTGTAGCGATAGCCGAACTTGTTCATTTAATTTTGCGAAGAATAACGGCTTGCCTCGAGCCACTGTTTGTTACTTTATTTTGTGATTATGGGAAAAGGGGAACCAGGAGATGCCTCCATTGATGTTTATAATCACGGCTACGGCGGATACACACGCATGGGAACTCTGGGCACCGATGAGTTAGGACCCAAACGGAGGTGCATTAATTTTCTCTAAATTTGTTTTTTTTCAATATCAAGTAGCCAGTAATCGGGTTTGCCTGAAAAGGTTGTTGCCTCGGTTGCTCGCTCCGGTTGCGCTGATGCTGCGTTTCAAACTTCGCGCCACAGACACTCAGCTTAACGCTCAACTTCGATGTGTTTCGAGGCAAGGGAGAGAGAGAGAGAGACAGAATAGCGAGGAGCGATTCACGCACCGCTCGGAACGAAGGAAATAACTTTAATAAAAAGAAACCTGTGTCGCCACTGGCCAGGACTAGTCTGGGTTGATGAGCTCACACCAGAAGGAATGCTCCACTGCACGCGCTTCGCTTCGACCGCACAGGGCAGCGTTATGTTGGGGATCGCGACTGCTGCGCCACGGCTCGGTTCTGAAGTGAAGCTCGAGAGTTTCGCTACTCTGGGAACATTCAGTGACTCTAGAGGCAACAAGTCGGTGGCTGACTGTTGATGGACGAGATGGAAAGAGAAAAAGAGCGAAAGGGTAAAACGGGGGTTGCTGGTTGAAGTGTCACCACATAAACAAGAATAAACCTCCGCCCGGTGAGTCATGAACATATACAATCTAGAACCAATAGATATACTACCTAACTGCATTGAAGTTTCGAGTGCTACGACGCTATGGTAGCCGCCCCCAGGCCGCGGCCAATCATTGGCAGTGCTACTACAACAAAGATTTCAATATGGTGACTCAACGGGATGGATTACGGTAACTGGGGGCTATAGTAACTATTACAGAAATATAATCGCTCGATTAAATCTCCCATTTCTATTTATAGAAAAATAAAAAATCTTCACAATTAGAAGCGTGATCATTACAATGATTAAGAATCATTTACAAGACACAAGGGCACCGCCATTCTTATTTCAGATACAACACTGACAATAATCAAGGTCAAATTTCCACTAAGTGGTATCTCACTGTGCTTAGGTGCTCCTGATATTTGGTGCAGTTAAAAAAACAGATACAATTACTTTCAAGCATATAAGCTTTGCTCGGTTTCAATGGCTTAGCCTGAATCGTCCGTTTCCATAATGGGACTATGTTGTTTTTGTATAAGCTGGACTTTTTGCAAAGCTGGCTGCTGAAGGTAAAAACCAAGGAAACAAAGCTTAGAAACACAACTAACCAGAGACGTGGAAAAGTAAATTAATGAAGCTATTCAATTATACCTATAACACAAATTAATGTGTAGAAAAAAGTGTTGTGAGTACGTTACTTCATAGTTCAAGGTCTCAGGTGACTGCGACTTTCACCAAACAATGTGTTTTAAGGAAAACCTTCAGTATTATCAAGAAAATAGCCTGATAAGTAGAATTTTATTAATGTAGCTCATAAAACTTACTCCAAGTGTGTGCAAAAGGACAAACTACGAACGGAAGCCCACAGTTATAGTTGTTGATATAAGCATTTGTAATTTTTGTGAATAACATGTAACAACGATTATTCTTTATTCTTTAGATATGCACTAGACAGGTTGAGATTTCAGTAGGTAAAAAAATGAGCTTGTAAGAAATGGTAACTTGAGTGAGTTGGTGACTCACATAGAAAAAGAAACAGTGAGAAAGAAAAAAATACGAAAAAAAAGAAGAAAACATATGATGCTTTGCATAAAGGTAAATTCTTTATGTACCAAGGCATAACCAGCAAGAAGTAATTTCCTCTGCATAGTTAAATGTGGACCCCAACAGCGCTAGCTTCCGCCTCTCACCCTAGTTGTTTTAGTTATAAAATAAAACACACAGGCAAATATAGATTAATTTAGTTGACAATTTGGTACAAATGCGGTCAAGGCAATAAAAAGGTAAAAAAACAACAACGCTGGTTCACTCTTCTGTGTATTCTCTTAATTGCACGCTTAGCAAACGCCTCGGGGTTGAGGTATCGGGTTGGGGACTTCGAGGCTGCTCAAAGCGCTCATCGGGGTTGCAGTTTTTGGGATATCAGCGCACTGGGGCACATATAAGGTAGACAAGTAATCTGTGCCCGCGGATGGACGCGTGGAGTAAAAATGGCTGAGACTGCGCAGCCACCTTCGGACAGCACAGTGTCAAGTTGGTTGGGGTTGTCCGACGATGGTACGGTCCGTTCCGTCGCTTTGCTGAGAGCACCAAGCAAGGTCGATGCAAGGACCCCTATCTCGCGGACTGATCTCTTGGCGCTTTTTATTCAACTTTTTTGAGCATTCGCAGCTGCCATGGCGAGCTCGTATCTGTTTTGAACTTCGTTAGGATCATGCCCGATTCTTGCTCTTCGTAGTCACCGGAAATAAGGGAAATGTCGCAGGCTAGCTGGTGAGCGATCATACTTGTAACCCCGAGACAAGGAGGCGAACAAAGAGAAAGAAAACAGAGGACAACACAACGGCGTCGTTCTGTTAGGGTGCACAAGCCGCCTCGGTCACTCCGAAGCAAAGCGCCGGCCTACGGATCCCCAGGAGGCTGGTTCCAGTCCCGGCCGAGGTGCCCGCTATCTGACGGAGGCTTATCGCGGAGTAAGCGCCGTGTGACCGAGCTTTCGGTTGCACGTCAAAAGATCCCCAGGTGGTCGAAATGAATCCCCTTCCCTTCGCTGGGCGTGTCATACACTCTTCGTTGGTTTGGCATGTAAAACCCCCAGATTTGGCTTTTTTGGGGGAGTTCTAGATCTGCCCAACCGATTCAGAGGGAATGTCAGCCTAGACCCAATCCAATCGTACTAGGATAGGGGCAGCTTGAACTTGAAAAATTAAAACCTTTAACGTTTTCCTATCTGAAGTGAAATCTGGCCCTATCTTAGTATCATTAATCAACTAGCTCAAATCAAGAACATCCTTCCAATCCTATTTGACCATTTGAGGACTAGCTGGGTCGTCAGATGGGCGTCGAAACGAAACTCACGCTGAAGCCTCTCGGCGCCTGGATAGTGATTGCTCCCGCGAAGTTTGGGGGCGCGTTGCCGCCGGTGCGGAACCCAGGCGTGACGATCAAGCCGCGGTCGTGGCGCTGTGCCACCAGGTTCGTGTTCTGCTCCAGGGTGACGTACTCGGCCGAGGCCGCACCTGCTCGTGACAATCAATAAAATTCAAAGTCAATACCAAAGCTGTTCATCACAAATGGACGCTAGTATAGTGCAGAGTGTAATCAGGCAGAAGTCCCAGAGCTCTCAAACTGACAAGTCGTACTTCTCGCCCTTCGTCCGTTTCGATCTGGACGAGCATCGAACCGGCTTGCGGTCGTGTACCACTTGCGCGATGCACGTTAAACACCTTAGGCTAGCTGTGGTTCTGCACTGGATAAATTTTTCATCTGCGCCGTAAAACAGTGTCGCACCTCCTCAAAAGGAAACCTACCTGACGCTGTGAAAGAAAAGGTGAACGTCAAATTCGGTTTCCTTGAAGCCACAGCTCATGTTTCATACGAAAGACGCGGAGTTTACATTTTGTTTCCTTCCAAATATTGTAGCCTCGCAGGGCCTAACGCAGGAGTGAGGGAAAGAATCGTACAAACAAAAAAATGAAACACTTACGAGATGAAATAAGCAGAACTGAATACAAAACTTATCAATAGTTATCGATGGCAGACGAATATTCACGCAATGGTAGTGAACGACTATCACCTGGCAACGAATTCGACATTTTGATGTACTAAGAACAATACTGCTATTTAAACAAATTGGTGCGTGAATTAAAAAGTGAAATATTTAGACGATGGTCGCTTCTTGTAAAAGATGCGTTTGCGAGATTTAAATACATATTAAATGTCAGGAAACCCGATTCGTTAATAAGACTACGCAGAGTTTTTAGGCATGCTGTGTTACGACGTGTGGACAGTTGGGAAAGGTTCACAGCAGAATGATTAGAAGAAGGTTGAAAAATCTCCGTCATAGTGGTGCAAGCAGGAAGTACAGCTCCCTTTTGGATGGCTTCAACCTTGTTAATGTCAGATTGCTTCTGAGGGTTCCAAATGACAAAGCCGTATTAAAGGGTTGGTCGAATTAAAGTTAGACATGTCAGAAGTTTTGTATGTTGGGGAGCTGAACGCAGGTATCTGAGTCGTGTATGAGCTTTGTTACACGTGAAATCAATGAGTTTGGACATGGGACATGGCAAGCATTAAAAGAGGATCTAAGTTCTTAGATTCAAACCCCCTTTCTAGGAAAAGGTTGTATGACTAATGAAACGTGAAAGTGAATGAATGCCTAGAAAAGGACATAAAAAATGAAAGCCATTTACAATTCCCTGTAACGCCGGATTAGAGCGCAGCTCTTGAGGAGGAGGATGGAAGTGTACTGAGGGATAGGTGACTTCTTGAAGTCACGTGACCACAGGGGGGTCGTGGGACGTCGGGGGGGTCACGTGACCTCGGGAGTCGCGTGACCTCAGGGGGAGCACGTGACCTCAAGGGGTCACGTGACCTCAGAGGGGTCACGTGATTTTAGGAGGGGGGTCACGTGACCTCAGGGGAGTTACGTTACCTCAGGAGGGTCACGTTACCTCAGGCGGGTCACGTGACCTCAGGGGGAGGGGTCACGTGACCTTCGGGGGTCACGTGACCTAGCTGGCTTGAGCGGCGTCGGCGGTTACGCCGACGCCGTTCAAGCTAGAAACGGGCCCCTAAGAGCTGCGCTCTAAAATGGTTCTCCGGAAATTTATGCACATTTGCAGGGTGTTGCGCCACACTCGAAAACTGGCAAAGGAATTGGTGAGAAAAATATGATCCGTAACTGAGTTAATCGTGTGACACAAAACAGTCGTCAGCGCATAGACATATTTTAGTGGTGATGTTGCGTAAAAAGTCATTTATGTAAAAACAAAGAAAGGAAGTGGTCTAAGGATGAAGCTTTGGGTAACACCCGATTATACATTCGAATTCGAAGAATTGAATCAATTGAAAGTTACATTTCACCAGCCCAACGCGTGGTGTCCCCTTGGACGCACTCGCAGACTCTCTCGGCGCCTGGCGCTTCAGCTTCCACATTTACCTTTCGCACTTCGAGCACGCGGTTTGGAAACGGTGACGTCTACGGCATCACTCGGTTTCGTCGGAGTCTTCGATAGCAGCAGCGGTGAGGGTGACGTTATCGAAGGATGTTAGAAGCCGGTCATTTGGACTTTGACCAGCTCGCGACCAACTCCACGGAAGAACTCGCTTTCGCCCGCGACGATCGCCAACGTGCATGCAGGGTGCAAGATCGAGGGTCGAGGGCGCGAGGACTTTGGAGTAGCCCAGTAGCTTGGGAGTGTACGATCGTACACCGTGGCGAGGCGAGCTGGGCCGGCACGGGGGCGCGGAATGAGGGAGCTTCACCTAAATACGATGCCCATGTGGTCGTTTCTGGACACCATGGTGTGGCTAACTCGAGCAGTATTGCCAGATGAAAATGTAAATAGATTTTTGCGATTACTAGAGGCTTAAAAATCGCGAAACTCGGTGTATATTCGCCCTTTTCTGTTTGGCCAAAAACTCAATGGCGCCGTCTATTGGGTGGGAAACCCGTCGTGTGGTTCAGAACCGGAAATGATTGGGGGCTATTTGCACGCTGGCGCCACCATGTTTCAACTGACTCGAATATACTAAGTAACTTATAGGAGCATCCGATTTCTAGAATAATCAATCTGCCCATTCAATTTTCGTGTTCTCAACTCAATAGCGAATGAGGACGTGAAAAAAAGGAAACCGCACAATCTTCATTACGTGGTCACGCTTACTGCACCGATACAGATTCGTGTCCAATGGAGCTGGTCTTTACGACGTGCCCGTTAGCTTTACTCCGTCTCATTTTAAGACCGATCGCAGCCACGATGGTTCCACACAAGCAGAGGCAAAAGAGATCTCTTTGCTGTCGCCGGATATATTAGTCACGCGCAGAAAAAAAGAAAAAGAGGATCAGGTTGCCTTTACCGCGCGTTGATAGACAACGCGCAAAGGCGGCGAGGGCAGTGACGCTCCTGGCGCGCTCGACCGAAGCCGTCAGCTCGTATGCGTCGGCTTTTGTACAGGTCGCCATGATTGGTCGAAAGGAATGCTCTGCGGGAAAGTAGACGCGCAGGCTCTTAATGCGAAAGCACAGCAAACTGTCCCCTGGAGCGAAGCCGGCGTTATCTGTAGCAGCAAAAGACGGCCCCTAAATTTCCGATGGCTGAGCGAAACGGCGCCTAAATTCCCATTGGCTGAGGGAAACGGCACGTGACCTCAAGCACGCTCCTCAGAATTAAAACAGAAAAGAAAAAAGCGCAGCAACGAAGGTGCTTCGCCATGGTAGCCGGCGGAGGCGCTCAAGGTCAAAACGGACGCGCCTCAGAAATAAAACACAATGATGCCTCGCCACGGAGGTCGTCGTGAAGCCGGCGGGGTTCGCCGCGTCTGCGCAGTGCAGGAGCGTCATGTCACCGCCGGAGAGCCGTGTGCAAAAGGAGGACGCGACGCGCTGCTTGTAGCAATGCGCTGCGTGTACGAATGCTTTCGCATTCCTACACGTATTTACTGCTGCATCGTTTTCGGCCATATACAATTCTGTAGTTGATTGTCTTTTGCCCCGAATGTTCTAGAAATGGTTAAAAAAAAAAAATCTTACCTGCCAGGCAGGTGAGAAGTAGAACCTGAAACATGATGAATGCGATCCAGACTAATGGGAATTGCGGCGTTTCCGCGCCCGTGTCTTTTTATGCGATTCCGCTGAAACATCTTATCGGGGCTTTTTTCTTTGCCCTTTAGGGCGGCCGATAAGAAACAATTGCGAGGGCATGACAAACGGAGAGGTGGGCGTAGGAAAACTCTGGAAGATCCATCGGCGATAAAACACCTCTGGATGTAGTGGCGCGATGGAACAAGTTGCGCGTTCTGGCAACGATAGTGCGCAATCATTGAGATTCTCAGAACGCAGAGTGAGTCGTTTCGTTAAGACAGATTCACACACATACGTCGCAGTGCTAAATTCACACTAGAAACAGCGCCGATGCGGTGCTGACTCGAACGCTACTTAGCACAGATGCGGCGTCGTATTCGCGACTCCAGCGACCTATAGGGGGCGCCACCACCAAACAAACATGGCGGCTGGGTCCAGGTCGCGTCGGCTCGGCCGGGCCGCTTGAACGGGTAGCGCATTCAATTTAACAGATTTTCTTTTGTTTAATGCCCAATTTTATAGGTATTTGAACTGAGACGGTTGAGTGTAGCCAGTGCACATAAACTTGCAGAGCATAGTTTTGTTTTCTCGGTGTTTTTTTGTTCTTTTCATGTCAAACATATGTGTCGGAGATCTCGTTCAAGAAAAAAACAAAAAAACTATGAATCCGGAGAGACGATAAAAGCTCTAATCAGTTTTGATCAGCTAAGCAAAGCGGCGATGACTACAGAGTTGTTCCACCGAGAGTAATTTTCAGCTAACTCTCATGCCTCGACCATGCGCCCTATCTGTCCGCGAAATCGAGCTTTTGTGCGTATCCGTGTTTAAGAAACAGTTCCAGTCGTCTGCTTGGTCAACAACACAGGCTGCAGGAAAATTACGAAAATTAAGCAAGCGCTTCTTGAGCCAAGGAACATGTTAACTTGCTGGCGCCCCACTAAGCAGCTGATACTCCTATTTCAATTCCGGTTTTAGTAAGCAATCAAGAAGTCATTTTGACGAGCGGGTTATGTATTATATATTACGTAGTACTATGTCCCATTAAAGCGATATCAGTATATTCTTTGGGTTGAAATATGAGCTTAGTTGACTAGCTATTAAATGAACTGCTGAATAAAAGTATATGTGACAGACAGAGAGATACTACTTAAACTTAGCCAAATGGTACTAGCCGGTAGCACGAAGACGAATGCGGACAAACTGAAGTGAGTTTTCATGGAAGATTCACGCTGAACCTTTCTGCATTGAACTTGACTTCGTATCCTGAACGGAGAAAATGAGTATTTTTTTGTGGCCCGTCAACTGAGCAATGTAGACATATATTGCTGCCGGCTTTGACGGGGGTATAATATAAATATTGGAGGCGCGATAGATCATAATGCCGTGAAAGCTTTGAACTTTGAAAGCAGATAATTTCCCTCATTAATCATATTCAGCGAGCAGGTTTTCCTGAATCAAGTAATGGCGAAATCAGCCCAACTCCTTCAGTGTGATCCACATGAGCTTTTTTGGCGAAAAGTAGTCAAGATGAATAGCCAACTCACCGACCGGCGTGGGTGGCTGAAACTTGAAGCTAATCGAACACAACCAAACTCAAGAAAAACACAGCTATCGAACCTTCCCATTTACTTGATTGCAACATTGGTGTTCCCTCCAGTGAAACACCTCGTCTGTCATCCTCAGTCCACTCTTCTACATCCTTACAAAGAAACCACTTATTAGTTACCAAGTAGTCGTCACTTTGAATGTGATTCGAGAGAGACAAGAAATCTAAAATTGTTTCCGTGATTCCTCCCCATCCAAGAAATCGAAAGCACGCGACCGTCTGTTGAGGAGTAAACGGACTTTCAGACACGCGATGGAAGAAAACAATCCACTGAGGCTTCACCACACTAATAAACACTCAGGCAAACTTAAGAAATTTTGGGATCTTTGTCAAATTACGCTGTTCGCCACCGCGGCGACAACACCAGTCCGCGAATGCCACCAGAGACCAGGGTTGCCAGGTGTTTGAATTCCAACCCGCCAAACGTCTACGAGATCTAGCCCAAAAATAGCCAAATGTCGATCCAGAAAAATAGCCCAAAAATAGCCCAAAAAAACTTATCATTTGAAACGTTTATTTTGAGCAGAAAAGACACATAATACATTTTTATCCATCAAATGCCCCAGAAATGGCGTCCCTTGCACGTTCGGCGAACTTCCTGAAACGCTCGTACAAGCGCATGACAACATACCTGCCACTGTATTGGGACGGGTGATCAGAATGACATCACGGAAGAACTATGCAGAATTCAGACAACCTAAAGAATGCGCTGAGCAGGTCCTGTTAAGGCCGCAAAGAATCGCGCCGTCACTTGTTGAGGTGGAGGAACAAGAGCACATGCTTGCATTCGGAGGTAAACAATTGCACAAGGCGCGCAAAAAGAAGACGAATTTGCTGTCGCAAACTTATCAGGGTTAAGGGACTGAAGCGCCAAATGTTCACTTAACTTACTCTAAATATACATTCGAACCTATAAACCCAGGTGCTTTCAGACATTTTATAGGTCAGAAATCGCCCAATACACAGGTCAGAAATAGCCCAACGCACAGGTTAGAAATAGCCCAATACTAGCCAAATAGCCAACTACCATTTTTTCCCGCCAACTGCAAATAAAACTAGCCCAATTTGGCTATTTATAGCCCAACCTGGCAACCCTGCCAGAGACGCGGAGGGGTGCGGGGCGACCTGGACCGGCTGGTTCCCGGTTTCCCCACTTGGCGGCGTCCGTTTTGCTGGAGTCGCGAATAGTACCAGCACTGGACCACTAATACAGCGCGAGGGCAGCGCTATTTCCAGCGCTGACTATAATATAGCGCTGAGGTATAGATGTGTGAACGGGCCGAGGTATTTGGCACCGCCTTATACACGTGACGACAACTACGGCGCGCAAGGAAGCACTTTTTTTTTTGCAGAAAGAACACGGCGTACCCTGCACTCTAGGACTATTCCGTGCGTACACCAAACGCACACAGTCAACGTTGAACTCAGCTATGGCGAATAGCAGGTCCGCACTCAATTGTGATGTCAAATGGATACTATATATAAGTATATAAGCCTTCCCGTGCGTCTGCTTTCCCGCACAACACTCAGAGAGCCAATCGCCCCAGCTTATGGAGGCAGCTCAGCGAACGAAGATACCGAAACGTATGTTTAGACCAAAAAACGCAGTCTGAGTTGTGATATTAAGCAATGCAAAAACGTCACGCTTGCATTGGCGATTGTCACAACTCAGACTGCATTTTTGGTCTAAACATACATCTCGGCATCGTCATTCGCTGAGCTGCCTCCGTACGTTTGGTGATTGGCTCTCGGAGTGTTGTGCGGGAAAGTAGAGGCACGGGCTTTTTTTAGAGAGTGTGTAGGTCATTCTGTTTTCATACGCCGCCATTTCCTAGCAGAAATATGTATCGTTATAGAGCAACGCGGAATTCTGTTGTCACACCGCTGCGGCGCACGCGAAAACACTTCTTTTTACGTGAATCTGCGTACGTGCAGTCCCCACACTTAATGCGTGCAAATGTGGCCTCCTTTGCAAACGACCTGTCGGCGCATACCGGTATCGGCGCCGCAGAAGATGTTGCTACTTGTAAGGAGCACTCATTTGTCCGCAGTCAACGTGAAAACTGCAGGAAGAACTTCACCCACACAGACGCATGAAAAAGAACACGAACAGCTCTAATAAATGCCCAATGCTGTGGGGTGCATTGGGCACTATGGTCACAGGCAACTGCAGAAGCGTTAGGGCGTAGAGAGGTCCCAACATTTTCTTCTACCCCCCCCCCCCCCCCCCCTCTTCCCTCAGCCAAATCGATCTGACGGCCGAACAACAGACTGCGAAGCAAGAGGCGTGAATATAATACGCCCTTTGTGTCTTAAGTTGTCAGTGAAGCAGAATATAATATTTGTTGGCGCTAATTTTAAGAGGACAATGCTGACGGACGGCCTCTCTGCGGAGCGCCATGTTCGTCCGCTTCTTTTGCGTTGGTTGTGGTGACGTCAGAGAAACGCCGAGCTCCGATTGGCCCTGATTAGAAAGATAGTGGGTAGATCTTCGAGGCGACTAGCATTGAGGTCTACCCTTATCACTCTAATCGGAGCCAATCAGAGCTCGGCGTTTTTCTGACGTCACCGCAACCCCCGCAAAAGAAGCAGACGAACTTGCTCTCCGCGTAGTCATGCCGACGACTTCAGGAACACAAGCCGTCGTCTAAGCCTGCAACCTTATTGGTTAAGGAGCGATAAGAAGACGCTCGGAGGTAGCTCTTAGGCGCCCTTTTCCAGTTTGAGCGGCGTCGGCGTCGCCGTCGTCGTCGCCGTCGGCGTAATTGCGCGGTACATTATGGAACCGCGCAGGGAGGAGGAGGAGGAGGAGGGGGAGGAGGACGAGGGGGAGGGGAGGAGGGGTAGGGGAGGAAGGAGGAGGAGACGAGGGGAGGAGAAGGAGCAGGGAAGGAGCGGGGAGGAGGGATATACCCTCCCCTCACTACCCTTCCCTCCTTCTCAAGAGCTGCGCTCCCATTTGGGGTAATAGGGTGTTGTAAACCTCTTTCATTTCTTTCCCAGAGTAACGTTCACGAAACTGATTTGTACGGGGTGCCCCTTTATATTCGGAGGCGGCGCCTTTCCTGCAATTCTTATGCTACTGTAGTCACCGGCGGCTTAAGAAACTTTGGGAGAAACTTATCTTTTCGCTCTGTGGTTTGCTCTTGACATTCTTATCGGCTCTCACTGCCTGCGAAGGAAATTGAGATGGCCGGGAAAAAGCACACCCTGTGTGCCTGAAGCTTTCGACAAGATAGGACATTTATTTATCCGAAAGCATTAACTGTTCCATGGAGCGCAACCTGCGTTGTCTGTAACCGCGAAAAACGGCACCTAAATTCCGGCTAAGCGAAACGGCACCTATTGGGCAGGAGATCGAACTATAGGGGGCGCTTTATCCAGCTTGTTGTCTACAAAGCCCGGTGTTTACTAACACAGTATAACAATGGAATTGAACCTCGCCGAGCATGGTCTGGGCACGAGCGCTTCGCTCTGACCAGTGCTTCGGACGCACTAGGAGCGGTCTTCGAATCGTCATCTTCGATTTCTCTGATTAACAACAAA